TGCTCGGAGAAGTGTATCGATGATGGATTCCTATTGTTAAATGGAATATATACCTAATAAGCTAATAACCCATTTTATTGTTTACACCAGTTCCTTCTAAGTATATGAACCATCTCCTTCATGGTTAAAAATGCTAGAAAAGTCAAAAAATTGATACCGTCCAGTGTCCATGAAGCTCTTAAGTATTTTTTTGAGTAAATTTTAGTTTGCCAGGCGAACGCTCTCAGAGAAATAAGAAATTAGTTTATTATACTAAAACGTAATAATTTTTTGTCCTTTAACTACATTATCTATCTATATATATATATATATATATATATATATATATACACATACAAAAATTTTGGTTTTGAACTAAAGAAACTTGAAAATGATTTACAATCAACCGTTTGAGAAATCGAAAAGTCAAATTGGAAGTTAACTAACGCCAAACATGCTGTGATTTTCATCAATAATTGCATTTCTGACAGTCTTTGGGTTTTTATTGTTTTATTCTTTGAAAAAAGCCATACATACATATATACAAAAAATATTTTTAAAAATTTTTAATAATATATAAATGTATTGTAATTAACCTATTGCGGTAAAGGATCATTACTAAACATGATGTTACCATATTATCTGCTAAGGAATAATTAGCATATGTGCTGTTAAAACGTCATTAGCATTTCCCGTATAAGCTATCGGAGTCATTGATACACCACTCCTTGGGGCCAAACATATAAGAGTCAATAATGGATTCAGAATTAAATAGAAATTTAATTTTAATACTATATAAATATACAAATAAAATATACATAATATGCTAATTTGTAATTTTTTTTATTTTATTCTTCTTTTTTTCTCGTGCCTTATTTTTTTAGGACATTGGCGACCATTTTGTAGAGGTTGAAATGTGGTGCTATTCAACGAGTGACACAATGACTTCACAAAAGTAATTCGTTGTTGACCACGATCTCTTCTCTCTACAATTTTTTTAGTAAGGGTTAGTTTTCCCAATCTTTTCTTCCGCATGATGTGACAAAAATTTTTAATTGCACTCGTCGGATTATTTGTAGTAATTTCATCTCCTCTTAACCGGACCGTTATAATACATCCCTATTGGAAGTATGAGAAGTCCAACTAATTTTTATAATTCTTCTCAAAATCCACATTTCAGCCTCATCAATTCTTTTTTACAAATTGTCCAAAACTCCTAACCGTCGTAAGTAAGCAAAGAAAAAAATGTAGCACTTTAACAAAAGCTTATGAGTAATCAACAAAAAATATAAACAAGTCTTTCTTCATTTTTTCAATCGCTCGTTTACTGATCATTCGTAGCATAATGATAACGTTTTAGTGCCAAAATCTTCGACAAAACCACATTGGACATTTGAAATTTTGGATCTGATTTTTGCTTCGTGCTCTCATCATTAGAATTCTCAAGAGAAGTTTTGTAAGATAAATCATCAAGCTGTTTTTTCAATGCAGCTCACATTTGGTGGCATTAGGTTTTTTAAGCAATGCAATGAATATTGACTTAGTTAAATTTTCAGGAAATTTGTCGATGTTATATATCTCATTCAAAATTTTTGTCACATTTTCAACGTCAAATTCATCAAAGCATTTAACTTCAACAACTATCTCATCTGGGCCAGGTGCTTTATTTGATTTGATTTTGAAAGAGCGACACGAACTTCTGATCTAAGTTTCTTTTGCCCATTTACGTCTTTGTTAATAGGAGGTTTTTCACCACGGATATAATCGAAAACATCGCTAATGTATTTTCGTCCAACTTTCGAATACATTTTTCTATTTCTATGATTACTTTACCGGATTTAACTTTTATGCATCCAGAAACGGTATAAGCCCCTTTTCCAGTGTTTTTTTGATGTTTTAATACATTGAATTTTTATTTCTGTTTTGATATTCTCGATGATTTTGCACTTGTCATTTAATCATTTTTTGTCCTCTAAGCTCATTATTTGATTGTTTGGTCCAACTTTCTGTATCTAGCAGAATTGTAGCTTTTCACTTTCTTTCATCTGTTATTCTTTTCAAAGATACAATAAATTTTTTAGCTGATTTTGTGAGAGCATCTCTAAATATTTCATATTTAGATTTAAATAGGTCAATAACTGAAAACGTTTCCGTACTTCAACGTTATACTTGATTTTGATCTCATTATTTTGTGACAGACTGACAAAATTCAAACGTCTTGGGGCTACTTCAATCTTGATTCTGTTTAATTTTATCTTGATTTTACAAACAACTGGGTTATGATCATTGCCAAAATCAGCTCCAGGGTAACTTTTGCATTGTAAAACGGCTTTTCAAAATTATCTATTTATAGTAATGTAATAAATCATATTTCTTACATTGTCGCTGTAACTCTTCCATATAAATTTCCGCTTTAGGTGGATGTCAAACAAAGTGTTTTTAATAATTTGGTCCTTTGCAACACACTGTTCATTCAAATTTTCTCCTCTTTCATTATTTTCACTTATTCTGTAAAGACCAACCACGTCATGGTCATGTATATTTTCTGAGCCAACTTTTGCATTCGGGTCACCCATCATAATAACAACTTGTTGAGATTTACATGTTTTAAAACATCATTAAGATCCCTGTAGAAAGTACAAGGTCTTTTTTATTGCTTTCAGACGTTGGCGCATAAACTTGAATAACACGTAGGTTGAAAGGTTTTGCGTGTATTTTGACCGACAAAACTTTATCTGACACCGCCCAGAAAACCTCTAAATTTTTAGACATTTTTTTGTTTAAAAGTACACTTACTCCTCGTTCGTGTGAATCACTTCAAGAGTAGATAAATTTGTTTTTTTTTCAAAAGTAATGACACCTGATTTTTTTCCAACGAGTTTCGCTCATTTCTTGTTTCAAATTCTCAAATTTTCCAATCTGTTACAACGTACTAACATGTAAAATAACATATATAGGAGATTCTTTATTATCGTTACATATACCGTGTAAAAGGGGCCGTAATAATTTTGTGATATTGGCCATTTAAATTTTATTCGATCGCTATGTTTTTAATTTTTTTTTTTAAGAATATGCTATTATTATTTTATTATAATGTATTATAAATTTTTTTTACACATTTTCAGACATTCTAATTAACGTTAATTTAATTTCAGAATTTATATTCTATAAATATGTTATAATAATTTGTTGTAAAAAACACTACAGTCTATCATTTTGTACCACGTATAAATAGTTAAAATTTAAATGCTTGTTAATCCATGCTATTCAAAGTTATAGTTTTCAATTATTACGGCCCCCTTGTGTACATGGTATTATCGACTGATCAATGTTACAAATGGCTGATTTTTATATATGTATATTCTATATATATGGCTCCACGTTACTTTGCCACAGTGAAGGTTGTATTCAACGTGTCACTGTCACGATGTTTTTTGATTTGGTTTGTGTTTGTCGATGGTTTTCTTGGCAAAAGTTGTGGACAGTAGGTTCCCATTACTTGCTGTCAACTTTTTCTACTTCTTTATTAGATAAATCATGAAAAATACATAATATTCTATACAAGCCACGTATATATAATTACCCTTTAAGAACAAAGGGTTCTTTTTTCCAAGTGCAGAGATTGGATCAGATCATCGTTATGCAACGTCAAGATGAAAATAACGAAGAGACTAAAGTCAGGCAAAAATATCAAAAGAGTGAAATATAGCACAGAAATGATAAAAGAAAAGTTGAAAGACATCAGAAATGTAATAGAAAACAAATTGGATACAAAAACAAAGTACGATATGAAAACAAGAGTCAGTAACTTGGAGAAAGTGCTTAAGACTGCAGCCGAAAAATGCGAAGTAGGGAAAAACATAATAAAACCCTGGATAAGTGATGAAACTTGGAAACTCGTAGAGGAAAGAAGACAGTTGAAAGCAACAAAAAGACAAAACAACGAAAATGAGATGAAATATAAACAACTGTGTTGCAAAATAAAGAAAAGTGCCAGAGCAGATAAAAGAAGATGGATAAACGATAGTGCAGAGGGTCTACAGAAACTGATCGAGTTGACGTAGGATGGTGGAAGAAACCATGGACTACACATCAACAGCAGTAAGACAAAGATAATGATTTCGGAAGCAGGTGGAAACAATGATGAATTCCAGATAGGAGCAGAAAAGCTCGAACAAGTGAACCAATTTATATATCTGGGCAGCCTCATAACTGATGACAATAATTGTTCGAAAGAAATTGATAGAAGAATAGCAATCGCGAGGGGAATGTTTGCATCTTTGAAAGTAATATTGAAAAACGGTAATGTATCTACAAAAACAAAGGTAAAGATCGTAGAAGCGTGTGTGTTTTCTACATTGATGTATGCATGTGAGGCTTGGACGTTGAAGAAAAGAGACAAAGACAAACTGGAAGCATTCGAAATGCATTGTTATAGAAAGTTGCTGGGAATCAGTTGGAGACAAAAGATAAGAAACGATGCCATAAGAAAACAACTTGGAAGACAAAAAACTGTGTATGAAAGTGTCAAGGAAAGAAAGCTGGGTATCTTTGGGCACATCTGCAGAATGACAGGCGACAGACTGATCAAAAAAGTACTGATGAGAAAGAGGGACTGGAAGAAAAAAGTTGGAAGACCTGTGAGGAAGTGGATGTATGATATCACGGAATGGACGGGGGTTGGAACATTGAGCTCAATAAAGTTGGCGAGGGAAAGAAAAGGATTTTGGAGAGATAGAAGAATACCATCGGCCTCAACGGTCCCTTAAGGGATTATAGAGGATCATTGAATGAATGAAAGAACAAAGAAATTATAATCTCATAAGCGTTGTTGTTTTTTATCACTTTTTTAGCTTCACTTTTAGACTTTAAAAAACGATAATATAGCATAATAAAATAGTTTGGTTTTGTGTTGCTGTAACGAAGTAATAAATATTAAAGCTAATATGGTCTTCTTGTGTGCGAGTATTGTTCGTAATCCTGCCGTGTTTTCTTGTGTAACAAATTATGTGAAATCGCACATGCAACAAAAATCAAGAAGTCTCTTCAATTTCAGTGGCCTAACAAATTCAAACCCTCCATGTTGTAACTCATCGTTGTTGAAACAATTCACAATTTGTGGTTTAATTAAAAAATCTGATGAAAAACACTTTTCCAGCAATTTCAAAGGTACACCTTTACATGAAAGAAAGTTCAGGTCGTCTGTACTTTATTTCATTGCGGCAGGTGTATTCATGATTGGAGCTACCTATGCTGGAGTTCCTCTGTACAGAGTTTTTTGCCAGGTACACCTGCTGGCAAAACCTTCCGAGCATACCACTTTATTGCACATTAGATTAGTATTCAATGAATTATGAATGTTATTCAACATTCATTTAAATTAAATGATGAATATAAATGTGACATTGGTTAATTAATCAATATGAAAAAATTTATTAAACTACAAAATATGGCAAGACAAGAACATAACATACACAGGCACAGGTACATTCAGATTATAATTTTTTTCACAATAGTAGCCAAAAAGTTGTTAATACACTTGATACATTTTCATTTTTCAACACTCACTGGTGTTTTGCATATCATTTTGCCACAAATATTTGATGCAATCAATAATGTTAGAGTTTAATAAAAAGGCTTTTTGCAATTAATACTAATTTTAAAAAAATTTCAAATCAATAAAAAAACTCTTGGAGAAATATCTAAGCTGAGTTGATACAAATACTAATTTAGGTTTACTTAATACCTGTTAATACTAAAAGCAAAGATTTTTGAAAAACTCAATGTTTAATGACCACTTGGTACTGTAGGTTTTGCCTACCAGAAGGAAATGCATTTTATAATTGTCCAAAAAACTAAATACATAAATGAACAAAATCTGTGAATTATGGTAACTTCACAGATCTATTTACAATTTGCATATAATATTTAAGCTCTATATAAGCAAATATTAAAAAATGAAACCAAGAAAACAAGAATAATAGCAACATCTTCCACAATTTTGCCATAACTCTTATTGACTTACACTTGTCTTGCACATCTTTATTTTCAGTTCATCCAATCAGTTCCTTCAAACCAATTTACATTTTCATTCATTAGATTGCTTCACAAAATTTTTTAACATATTGAATACTAATGTGGTATGTTTTGAAGGTTTTGTCCACTTGCTTATTAAAATTATTGGAATTTATAATTTTGGTAAAGATAATTAATCAAACTTTAATTATTTAATTAATTTAATTTTTAATTAATTTTTTAATTAATTATTCATAATTACCTGTAATTTAATAATTTCTGATATAATTTTGTATTATTTCATTTTCGATTTATTATTTTATTTTTATTAAAGTATGAACATATCCAATTAGATGGTGTATCTAACAGACATCTAGTGAGCATTTTTCATGTTTGATCATATGTTTGATCACAACACCACAGCTATTAAATACTAAAATACAATTGCAAAGGCTCCGTTCTTTGCTTGATATTTCTCATAAGTAAACATTTTTGGCACTATTTTCTGAGCACATCACATTTATATTTATGAGTTTGTGTGGATTCATGGGATTCAATATTTTTGTTTATGTATAAATATTTATTTATTTTTGCATTATCTTATTATATAACAATATGTAACATTTAAATGTTAAATTAATTGTTTTATTTTAAGATTAAATGTCTCATTTTAAAAATGGTATTTATTTACAAATTTAAAGTTTAGAAAATAATGTTACGTACAAGTCTAATAAAAGTTTTTATCCTTTCTCAATTTCTTTTTTTAATGTAAGGTCCAAATGCACCACTCAAATCCTGATCACAGTTACTGTTTGTCAATGATTCTGCAATTACTGCTCTTCAAAGCACTGAAAATGCTGTAAGTCATGCATGGTGCACATGGTCCGGGTTGGAAAGGCCAGTTGACAGATGCAGTTCCTCAGTTATACGAACAAACAATTCTTGCTCAGACTGACAGTTGACATTATTGGAATTTATTAAATAGCCAACGTGATTGCTTAGAATAGATAGAAAAACGTATGATTTTTATTGCAAAACAATAAAACAAAACAATCACTAAGTTAACAAATGTGGTAAAATGAGCAGCAAATCTGGACAATGAAAAGACTAAAAATGTTAAACAGTTACATTTCATTCTATGGTAATCTTAGGTTCAGTGCCCCATTGTTGAATATTTTGGTAGTGAAAGCAGTCTATTAGCTGTGTAGTTATAATCCAATTACTGCCAACAAAAACATTAGCCATAATGTAAACCGTCTAAAAGGTAAATGGCTCTACGGAATTGATGAGATTTAAACTTTGTAACAAATGGTAATAAAAAAATTCAATGACTGAATCTGGTTCAGACTGCATCTAAATTGATTATATATCCAACAATCGTGAAATCAAAAGACAACAGTTAATAGCTAAAAGATCAAACAAAGAAAACTGCAATGATCATGTAACAACGTTTCAATGCCAAGGTGTTTTAATTTAAGTAATGAACAATCACCATGGCAAAGCCACCCAGATGGTAGATGGTCGAAAGCATTTACCAAAAAGTATGCAATTCATCAACTGCAAACAGTGTAGATCTTTTCAGATTTTGTAAGACGAATCAACTGTGCCTAATTTGCATTTACGTACAAACCAAGAAATGTGCTTCACCTATCCAATTGTAATTTTTTTTGTCAATGACTGGAAAAACAGAAACACAACAAAATTTTCAAATTGATTGCCAACTGCTCTGAGCCATGTGCACAATCAGACGGCTACTTCTATGTTGATATATAAGATAATGGAATAAATCTTATGTCAGTCATTTACATCCCGGTCGTGCTATTCTCCATGGAAAAACGGTTTAAAATCTGGAACTTACTGTGTTTCACAAACCTCACTTGATCAAAATTCTTTTCAAGTTCATCAAGGAATACAGAGAAAACTTCAACAAAAACTTGAAACATTTTGAATTCTTTATTCATCATGCTAATTTTTTAACAATAATAATGTTATTATTATTCTTATCATTATTAAGCTTTTTCAATAAAATTAAACAATCATCGATTTATATTCTGTGGACTTATTTTTTTTATAAACAAATTTATTTTTTCAACACTATTATTTTGACGTGTACGGTGAACGAAACGTAATGTAACTTGATTCGTTTTATTAATGCTTCGTACTTGTTCTTGACAATGACAAACAATTTTTCTTTTACGCCATTTTATTATCATTTACGCTGCTGTTTACTTTCATTTCGACTTTAATTATTACATATTGATAAGGTAATTCAATAATATTTCATCAGAGAACTGGTTTAGGGGGAGAAGTGCGGAGAGAGAAGGACACAGAAAAGTTGCAAATAATGAAACCAGTTACTGATCGTGTAATTAAAGTTCGTTTCAATGCTGATGTCAGTTCTAGTATGCAATGGAATTTTAAACCACAACAGGCAGAGATTGGAGTAATTATTTGTCCATTATATTAATTTAATTTTGTACTTGTTATTTTATATAGCTGTAATCTATTTGTCGCATCTGATAATTGTAGTTTGTTATGTGATTTTGACAATAACAACACATGCTGTGATCTTAATAAAATTATTTACAATTTTGAGGTCCTTGCAGGTGAAACAGCCTTAGCTTTTTATAGAGCTAAAAATCCAACAGATAAGGCAATAATAGGAATTTCAACATACAATGTTGTCCCATTTGAAGCAGGACCTTACTTCAACAAAATTCAGGTGTGCTTGTGGAGCCCTACGCGGTTAAACTTTTCCAAAAACCGCTCACGACCGCCGAGGCTGATACCGCAACCGCCCGCAACTGCACCGATCCAAAACAGCAACCGCAGAAAAATAAAAACATTATCGAACTGTACGAAATGAAGTTTACTAGAACAATTGTAACAAATAAGAAATCTTATTTAATTTTGAACTCAGACAACAACAAATATTCAAATTCTTAGAAGTTTGCCACCTTTTATTTTCAATGGCGCTTCAGTGTTCGTTTTTAATTAAGCTACACACTTTAACGTTACATTTCTTAGGAGACAAGTTTATTTTTATTTTCAGTTGAATGTGATTATTTGACGAACTAAAAACTATTAACGTTTTTTCTGACAACTTCAAATCACTCAAAACGTTTTTCGTAATGTTTTTACAATATTAATCTTGATTAACTTTTCTAACAAGATTTCAAAACGACTTTTCTAAAATTTCTAGAGTTAAGATCGATTTGTTTTGGGATCACATTCTAAGCAGGAAAAAAATGATTAGTTGAAAGTGCGACTAAAAACGTTGAAAACTGCATCGTACAAAACCACACGTTCTTAAAATCGCATCATTTTAAACGGAAACCGCGGTTGATGTGCGGTTTTTGTGCTTTAAATCGTAAACCGCGCAGGGCTCTAGTTTCATTATTAGAAATTCATTTCAACCAATTTAACTTAATATTTATTTATTTTCTAAACAGTGTTTCTGTTTTGAAGAACAAAGATTGGGCCCACATGAAGAGGTTTTTCACTTTTTTGCTTAAATTGTTTTAATGCATTCAGTTGTTGACCATTCCTATTGACGTTTTTATTGATGTGCTTAGATAAATCGGTTTATAATGTCCGCATGCCAGACCATTGCTGGAATTATTTGATAATTTTCGTTTGAAGAATTGGGTTGACCAGCCTTCTCATAGCTTAGGAGGAACACTGGATTTGATTGTTTCTAGTAATAGTTTGTATGTTTCTGATGTAATGGTTTATCCAAGTGGAATATATTCTGGCCATGGGTTGGTTAAAGCTTGTTAGCCTTTTAGAAGAAAATGCATCAGTAAATGCTACAGAATAATCAGATCATGGAAACATATTGATGAGGAAAAATTTATCTCGTTGGTTATCGTTTCGCCGATTGGTAAAGCATGTTCAGGTATGGATGTTGACAATTCGTTTGATTTATTTGAAAATGAAATAAAAAGGGTTTTAGATATAGTTGCACCGCTACACAGAGTAAAGTGTCGTCGTGATTCTGTAATGCCATGGTTTGATAATGAATGTCGGCAGCATAAAAGGCTTTGTAGAAAGCTTGAAAGAAGTTAAAGAAAATTAATGTCAACTGATGAAAAAATAAATGGATTAGTGCGCTGAAATCAAAGAAATTTGTTTTGGTTAAAAATGAACTGTTTTTGGTCAAATTTTGTCGATGAGAATAGAAACAGGCCGAAACAATTATGGAATGCCCTAAATAAACTACTTTGCAAAGATTCTGTTGACAATATTGATAAGACTAAAACGGTGGACACTAGTGATGGTTTTCTGAAATTTTTTGAAGATAAAATTGAACGAGTTCGAGATGCAACGGCTAGTAACAAATCACCTTTTTTGAGAAGAGGACTGAGATAAGCAACGAGTTTCTAGTCTTCCCGAAATGTAGTGAAGAAGAAATTATAAAGATAATTTTAAATTGTCCAACACAAACATGCTTGCTTGATTGTCTGCTCACGTATTTCTTCAAAAAACACATTGGCTTATTTTCCAAATTTTTAGCAAGTCTCATTAGCATGTGTCTAACTAAAGGCACTGTTCATGCATCTTGCAAACATGCAATGGTTATCCCACTCCTTAAAGGAATACATCGTGATTTCAGTGATATTGCTAATTACTGGCCGATTTCAAATCTTCGTTTTATATCTAAGGTAATGGAAAGAATTGTCGTTAAGGAGCTGTTAAACCATTTGTTTAAAAATAATTTGTTACATATTAATCAGTCGGGATACATGAAATATCATTCAACAGAAACGGCCTTGCTACATGTTTTCTCAACTTTGTGCGCAGCGATGGATAACCAACGTGTATCGCTGGTTGCATTCCTGGATATAAGGGTAGCTTTCGATTGGGTTGCTGGATCATGATATTCTACTGCGATGGTTATGTGAAAGTTTTGGTGTAAAGAGGACAGACTCTCATGGTTCAGATCATACTTTTCATATCGAACTGAGCAGATTTTTTTTATAATAAAACTTGGTCTAAAATTAAGAATATAAGTTTGATGTCCCTCAAGGGTCGGTGTTTGGACCTCTGCTGTTTCTGTTATACACACAAGAGATCCTGGATGTCATCAAGTCTTTTGGATTCACAAGGCATGCCTTTGCTGATGATATACAGATAATTGTTATCTGCCCGCCAGAGGAGTTTGATAAGATGAGTAACAAATTAACACAAATTAAATTAATAACAGATTAAAACTTAATCAGAATAAAACAAAGCTATTGCCAGTAGGAACCTGGCAACAGCTTTTAAGAATAAATATCTCCACACTAAATATAGATAATGTCAAACTGGAATTCTATTCAAATGCCTCAAGTCTGGGTGTTAACATTGATTCTAAGTTAACATTGGATTATCACATAAAATCATTGATGAGAGTCTGCACTTTCCAGCTGCGCAAGTTGAAATTGATAATATGATGATGCATGCATTCATCCATTCGCGTTTGGACTAGAGGTCTACGCAGGAACACATTTCTATTCCCTCACCTGCCCCTCCTGAAAATGAATTTTACCTCACCCGCACCCATTCCCTCACAGGTGTTCCCTCACCCGCACTCATTCCCTCACAAGTCTTCCCTCACCCGCACCCATCCCCTCACGAGTCTTCCCACACCCGCACTCATTCCCTCACAAATCCTCATTTTCCCGCACTCATTCCCTCAATAATTATATCATTAACAAAGACAATAAAGTATCCATATTCAGAGTATTATGTAGTACATTCTATATACAATTTTCATATAAAAACAAACAAAAATACTGTTTAATGTTAGTGTTTCAGTAAATTGTAAATTTTTTACCACTCCTTGACTGTTGAGAAAATAAATACGTTATTCGCTGAATTTTGGAAGATATTAAGTAACTTGTTGACTGCCGATTTGTCTATATTTACCAAACTGCTAACACGAGGTCGTCGTCGAAATAAAAAAAACACAAAATGAAAATAGAACTCGCTGATCACGTATTTATCTTTGTAAAAAGACAGATTCTGTATTCAAGCTGCATACTTAATGTTCGGTTTTGCTGTTTTGAAGAGTTGAAACACAAACTAAATAGAAAACAATAAGCGTAATGAGAATACTAAGACTCTCGGTTGAAACACAGATGCATTTGACTTCGGTGTTGGAGTTCACCAAGGCTCGATTCTCAGTCCACTGTTATTTATAACTGTGATGGAAGAAATCACAAAATCGATACGCACTGGTGACATTTGGAATCTAATATATGCTGATGATATCGTTTTAACAGCCACGTCTGAGCAGAATGCAGCACAGATGTTTGAAGATTGGAACACCAGACTGGCCTATCATGGATTCAAAGTCAACATCAGCAAAACCAAAGCAATGAACACTGGTGAACCGATCCAATCCACAGCGACGATGGCCCTGTTCAGTTTGTAAAGCTGGTGTAGGTAATTCAATCAAGTGTCAGCAGTGTAACCAGTGGTGTCACAAACGTTGTTCAAAAGTAATTGGTAATTTATCTTAAAAGTCCAATTTTGTTTGTTCTGCTTGCATCAATTCACAACAACTAATTCGAAATAGCAATGTTCTTGAAGCCATTAAGGTAGAGATCACATCGTTTCAATATCTAGGGGATGTTCTAGATTGTACTGGAACAGCTGAAGTTGCCGTTCGAGCACGCATACGTGCAGCCTGGAATAAATGGCATCTCCTTGTCTCTATATTGATGCGGCGTGACATCCCACTACCACTACGATCAAGACTTTATAAATCTGTTATACGTCCGGTGATGTTATATGGTGCAGAAACATGGCCAATGACAACCAAGCTGGAACAACAACTCCACCGAACCGACATGAAAATGATCCGATGGATTTGTCTGAAAGACCATATCAAATCAACCGAAATCCTGCATCGTGCTGGTTTAAATGATATAAAGGACAAATGCCGGCAACACCGTCTGCGGTGGTTTGGTCATGTCAAACGAAGTGAAAACAGTGCCATAACTTCTCTTGCAGATGTTGAAGTACCTGGCACATGTCTCAAAGGCCGTCCAAATAAGTCCTGGTCGCAAACAATCGAGCAAGACAAGATTTTTACAATTACTAGTTTCGATAAGTTATTTCTCTCTGTTTTGAGATACTTTTATTTCACCGCCATGCTTATTTACACGCGCTATTGTAACCTTGGCATGAGCAATCCACTTAAAATAATTTGACCAGTCCACATTACTTTTTATTTCGTACCGAATCTTCTATATNTTTATTCTGTAAATAATAATTACAAATTTTTCTT